AAAAAAAAAAAAGAAACACAACTACAATACAGGGACCACATCCTATACTGTTGTCCCATGTGTCTAGGGAGACTCTCAATGAGAACTTCGTGAAGAGTGGAGAGAGTGGAAGAGAAAGAATGTTGTAGATGCTGGTGGGAGGGAATGGCCTTATCTGCAGTGAACAGAATGGAGCAGAGAGAAGTGGGCCGGATCGAGCAGAAGGGTCAGGCTGGAGCAGGTGAAGGAACCCTCTGCACATGTGTGGGTGAGAGGGAAGGCAAAGTAATCACCCAGCTCCACGGCCGGCCTCTTCTCCTCTCTGTCTTGCACACGCCCCTTGATCCTGGCCAAGTCCCTGACTCTCAGGATTGAAGTGCCCCGGTCTCACAGTCCCTCACCGGCCACCTGTCCTTGCAAGCCCAGCACTTACCACAGGCCTGGCTCTGGCAGTGGACAGAGGGCACCCACAGGCTGGAGGAACCAGTATCAAAAAGGACAAGGAAGTTCTGCGGAGGAGTCCCAATGCTGATCTCACCAAGGTAGAGACTCTGGGGGGGCCATGGGGCAGGCTCTTAGCTCTGCAGGGATCCAGGGACCCTCAGGCCCAGCCAGACCTCCATGGACAGAGCCCCTGCCCTATAACCCACACCAGAGGGAGAGGCCCGAGCCTACTTTCCCAGAACACAGAGCCCTTCAGGCCAGTCTGACAGGCCCCAGGGGCTTTATGGGAGGGTGCAAAGTAGATGGTGCAAGCACACCCCCAGGGCCTGGCCTCAGACTTTGCCGGTAGAGAGAGGGAGCCCCAGGGAGGGCGTCAGGACTCACATCCAGAAAGGCCAGGGGCTCGTAGATGGCACTGAGGTTGCCAAAGTGGTACTTCTGCACAGGGTCGTGCTTGGGGGTCCTCAGGAACTCCCCCAGTAAGCCCTTCTCCTTCATGGTCTCCCAGATGGACTCTCGTTTGCTCAGGGGGACTCTGCAGAGGGACTGGGGTCAGGACAGGGCCTCCCTCATTCCTACAGCACCCCTGATGGTCCCAGTCCCTTCTCCCCCCTACCCACCCGCCTCTCCATCTCCAGCCACATGCCCCAGACTCCCTGCTCCTCTGTCCCGTGTGCCCATCTGCTCTGGCTCCAGCTCTGGCCCTTTCTCTCTGTCTCTGTCTCTGTCTCTTTCTTTGGGTTTATCCCTCTGTCTCTTTCTCCCTCTGCCTCCCTCTTTGCCTCTCCCTCTCGTCTTTCAAAAATCTTCTCAGGACTTGCTCCAAGATTCAGAAAACAAATACCTCCACCCATGCCTGCCCACATCTCATCTCAAGGCTCCTCATCCTTCCCTGGCCCTCTGTTCTCAGGTATCCCATAAATTCCTTCCCAGAAAGGGGAGGGGACTTCGGCCATTACCCTTGGCAGGATATACGCTTTCTCTTTTATGTAAGCTCTGCGTGCAACGCAGGGCTTGAATTCAGGGCCCTGAGATCAAGAGTTGCGTGCTCTACTGAGTATGCCAGCCAGGCAGCCCAGGATATGTGCATTTATAAGAAAGATTTCAGAGATGGCAGAGCTCCCCCCAGATCCTCTGCTATGGTGGTCCTCAGGCACCTGACCCCGGCTGATGTGACAGAGCATGGGTAGAGGGGACAGCACTAGACTGGGACTCAGAAGACAGGGTCCCAGGTCTGCCCACACTGCTAATCCCCTAGCCTGGGGCTCATCACTGCTCTTCTTCAGACACCAGGCAATGCAGAAGTTGGCCTGGGTGGTCTGGGGCCCAGATCAGCTCTGGAATGGGAACTTCTGAGTTCTGGGCTTCTGCCCCCATCCCCTTGGCTGTCCTCCTCCAAGACCAGCTTGCTGTCATTACATAAGGGGCCTCTGTGGGTCCACCCAGGCTCGTTCCAGACTCCAGAAGTGCTGCTTCTTTTTTCTTTCCCCATCTGAATCCCCATTCCGTCAGGACCCCTCATTCTTCCGAAATTCTTAGCTACAGCCATTCACATTGAGCTGTGAAAACTGACGATTGCTTGGCTCACCATCTCGACAGAATTTGCATACTGCAAACAGATTTCTCAGAGGAGCTGGAGGCATCAGTCTTTAAGGGTCACATAGCAAGCAGTGTGCAGGCCGGGAGCGCTCTGGAGGTCCTGGACGCCACGCCTCCTTCTCCCTTTCTTCTGACACCTTACCTGGCACGCAGACATCACCTTACCGCTGTTTCTGCTTCAATGATTGTGCCATCTGCGCTATAAATTTTGGGCCTTAAGGGAATTTTTAGCAAATGTCTGCCTATCCAGAAATAATCGTTCCTTTCTGCAGGAGGAAAGCAATCCTGCCATCCGGGATCTGTTTGGACAGCAGTCACCCTTACTACCCTGTGCCGGGTCCTTCTTTTCTCATCAGAGGAGAAAGCGCTTCTGCTTTTCCCTTCGCCCAAAAGTGCAACCACCAACAGAATTAAGTCTGCAGAAAGGCATGTGGCCCCAAGTTAAAGATTATAGGGGAAAACCCCAGGATGCTGAAGACAATGAAAACAAAGCCCAGGAGAACAAGAAATGAATTAGCCCGCGCAATCACAAGGTGTGCGGCCTCTGCTTTTGTTACCAGAGATAGCATCACTCGCACAAATTGCTGAGATGTTTTGCAGATCCAGACCAGGGAAGGGAATGACCACCCGGTCACAGTTGATGAAACCGGACAGACCAGGGCCGGAAAGACAAGTCAATCAGTCCTGAAGTTGACCCGATCCCTGACCCATCAGAAGAACCCACGACTCTCAGCCCCCTATCCTGCGTTCAACATTAACGCCCCGTTCTCTGAGTGGTGTAACACCAGTAAAGAAGCCTGTCTTTCTTCACTGTGAATGCTCAGTGTCTCTCTGTTGTAAAGGCTTGCTGGGCATCTAGTGGACAAACTCTCCTTTGGTTCAGTTGTAGACGTTTCCTGAGGGCAAAGGTTGTAGCCCCTTCTGCCTCGGACGCCCCAACCCACACCTGCTCCGACAGCCAGGCCCCAGACTCACTTGACCACTGCGGCCTCCAAGAGCTGGAGGCTGGCCAAGGCCACCACCATCCACTTCATGGTTCTTGTTCCCATATGGCCACAGAGGGAGAGCCACTCCAAGTTGACTGTTGCAGTGGAGGGAAGGCCCTGAGCACTCCTTCTGCCTTTATATCCCCCGGGATCGAGCCCAGTCCCTGCCTCCCGGCCCTAGGCAAAAGTGTGACTTCAATCCCGAGTGCACCCTGTGCTCCGGGTGTCTGTGGTTTCTGTGCGTTTTCCTTCTGGAGGGTGGCCACAGAGCACTTTCTTCTTCTTCACTTTTTAATACAAGCAGAGGACGCCAAACAAGTGTGCATAAGAGTTGCCATTAAGATGGGCTGGTGAGGATTTCTTCTTGTCCAGGAACAGTGGCATGATGTGCGCATTTTGGGGTGAGGGCCAGAGTCAGGTAGACTGAGGGCCGTAGGACCTCCATAGGCAAGTTTTCACATCCTCAACACTATTGCCATTTTGGAACATATAATTTTTAGGGGCGGGGGGGGGCTGTCCTGTGCACTGTAGATGTCTAGCAGTATTCCTGACCTCTATGCACAGGATGTCACCAGCAGGACCCTAGTTGTGACAAACAAAAATGTCTCAGGGCATGGCCCAGTGTCCACCTAAGGGGCAAAATTGTTGAGCATCCCTGGTCTGGACACGATGCACTCAGAAGTCTGGCCAAATCCTGGTTTCCAGCACCCCCCAAGACCTCGTGGGATGCAATTTGGTTGACTGGGGGATGATGGGGCCGGTACCTGGGATGATGGTAATGACCATGTGGTAGTGAGGGCGGTGTTGATGGTAGCGATGACGGCAATATCCTTAGCTCTAAAGCAGGTGCTGGGGCTGAGATGCCAGTGGCTGAGGTCAGAGCTATTCGCAGCAAAAGGGGGTCAAATGGAGAGATTGTCATCATGGTTCAGCAGGTGCTGGGGACACACCCCTGATGTAAATTACACTGGCCCCTGGCTGTTCCACTTGTACTGATTTGCAACAAAGGGAGGCCTGGGGCAGAGGCAGAGGAGGAGGGGACAGCCAGAACTTGCCTCTGTTCATTGTCTCTCTTCTCCGGCCCCATTAGACTTCCCCTGTCTTTAGCGCTCCTGAAATGCCTGTGTCCCCCAGGGCTGTCATGTGCTGCTTTTCTGCCCCTGAGTCTAGTCAACCCAGGTCTATCTCCCTCACCTGCTGGCCCTCCCTGCTTCCTGGCTACAAGTTTCTCATTGCCTGAGATGATCCGGAGCTGGCCCAGTGTGCACCAGCCTGGCACAAGAGAGCGCCCACTTTGGGGTGAGTAGAAAAATATCCCCGTGTCAAAACGCTCCGTGCCCCCTTGTAGCGCACACTCAGGGCCCCAAACACATTTGTCAGGCCCTCAAGCCCCACACCAAAGGCCACAACCGGGCCTGCAGACACTGACATGACCCAGCCGGTGGGGGGTTTTCTCCTTGGCCACCAGCATCCACCGTCCAGCCAGAGCCCCAGAGCCTCCCCTAGTCCTACGATGGGGGAGGGGAAGAGGGCACTAGAGGTCTTCCCAGGCCCGGCCCAGAATGGGATGCACCTGCCTAATTGTGTCCCTGCAGTCCCCAGGGTCCCCAGGAGTCCGAGATGGAAGGAAGACAAGGGAATGAAGAAGTGTTTTCCCCAGAGCAGGGGACCCGAAGATTTGGAAGAGCAGGCCAAAGAAAGGCATAGGTTCATTGGAATCTTGACAAAACCTATGAATACACCAGAACCTATGGGATCCCCTAAGTCTTGTGAGGCCTGCCAGACTCCCCAGCATGGGGCCGCCAGGGACCATTTCATTATCTGGTAGGACCCCAGGAGTCTGACACCTGCCAGGCTAACCTTCCCCCCAACCCCAGCCACACCACATCCCTTTGAGCATCCCTGGCCCACTGCTTCAAGCCAGGCCTCCCTTCTTGGCTGCCAGGCCCTGGGGGGTCTGCACCCCCTACCTACCCAACCTGATCTTTGACAGCTCAGCCAGTCTCCTCAGACATTCCAAGTCCTCATCTGTGTCTGTCTCAACCCCGAAGACCCAGCCTCCCATATGTGGAAAGGTCTCCCTTCTATGTGTCCAAATTCTGCTCATCCTTCAAGTTCTGTCCTCCAGAGCCAGGGATCCACAGTCTGAGAGCTCCTTAGAAGTCATCTAGGGATGTGCATTGGAGGGCACCTCTTTCTACCCAGGACAGAAGCCCCCTGGCCCCGGTGGCTCCATCCGCGTTTCTCTTCTGCCCCTAAATGCTGCACATCCAGCTGACGCTCTCCCCTTGGTGCTGGATCTCACACTGTCTCAGATCAGTCGCAGTTGTTTCCTGGGATATGTTTGCCTCTCCCCCTAGACTAGAAGCTTCCAGAGGACAGAGACTGCCACTTGTACCTCCCTATGCCTGGTTGAGAGCTCAGGCAATGCTGAACAGTAGCTGGAATCCAAGGGGTTGTCCTTGATGGGACGTGGTTTATCTCCCCCGCCCCATTATCCCAACACTGTGATTCCCCCCTCACACACACGCACGCGCTCCAAAGGGATCTTGTCAAAATCCAGGACCTGGCATCCTCTCAGAGCAATTGTCTCCCAGGACAGAGGCACTTTCTCGGCACCCTCTGGTCTCATCTCCTTCTGAGCACCACCTGCCTCAAAACTCATCAAAGGCCCCTTGTGGCTAACTGAATGAAACCCAATCTCATCACCCTGGCCTTGAGGTCACACTGAGTCTGGCGCTTTCCTCCCATTTCCGTGCTCATCTTCCACCACTAACCTACACATGCTCTATTCTCCAGCCAAAGAGACCACCTGGCTTTCTCCCAAGGATCTTATTTGCCAACCTCCATGCCTTTATCCATGCCGTGCCGTCTATCTGGGATGCCTTCCTAAGCATCTGCACCTGCAAAACCTCCTCCTCCTTCAAGAGCCAGTACAAACGCCACAAAGCCTTCCCCACTGTGCCCACCTACATGCAACCTGGCCCCTGTTATGGAGGACCTTGCCTTTCCTTCCCGTATGGTATTTATTGCGTACCGTCTTCTATCCCAGTGACTCGCCCCCTATCCTACCATCCGTAACTACAGACGAGGTCTCTCCCTGAACACGCTTCCTTCAAGAGCTCATTTTTCAGAATGTCTACAGAAGTGACACTGGTTGCTGGGAGTGTCTCAGGAACAAATGGCAAGGACCCGGGGTGCACACTCGCATGCTAATCCTTCCTCCCCAGCAGACATCATTAATCAAACGAATCACTCTTTCCCGTAGTGCTGAGCCAAGGCTCTAGGATCCTTCCCAGTCTAGCGCCCCATTCAGCCATTCTCAATCGATCTTGAAATGAGAATCCCCAAGCCCTTTAATGGAGGGTGGGTGGGGGGTTTTTTCCCCTTAAATCTGACACTAAGTTTCACTTAGCGTCCTATACATACCACTTTTTAAAAATCAAGGCCTCTTGAAACTACAACTCTTTGCACTGTTCCAAGTTAGCCTCTCGCTGTGAATGTACACACTTAGGTTTAACATAGCTGTAATCAGTGTGAAACACTGCTTCTGTTCTGCTCTTGTCACGAAGATTCCTGCATACACATTTCCGTGCAGTGAGAAAAGCACGTTCTTATCACTTTCGATGGCTGTATGCGTTGAGTGTGCTACCGTCCTCATTGCTGGGATTACTTAGCCCCATTAATTTGGGCTCATTCCAATTTCTATCAATAGCACTTGGGCTCAGAATCAAATAATTATCCAGAAGAAGAGAGTAGTGAGCTCATTATCAGAGTCATTTAAGCAGAAGCTAAAGGGTATCTTTTTTTTTTTTTTTTTTTTTGAGAGACAGCACAAGTCTAGAAGGGGCAGAGAGAGAGAGACGGACAGAGGATCCAAAGCCAGCTCCATGCTGAAAGCAGCAAGCCCAATGCAACATGGGGTTCAAACTCACGAACCATGGGATCGTGACCTGAGCCGAAGTTGGATGCTCAACTGACTGAGCCACCCAGGTGCCCCTAAAGGGTACCTTTTAAGACGTAGTGGTTCAGGAGTCTCTTGCAGCTGGTGGAAGATCGGGCCAGGCATCTCAGTCTCTCTCTGTATTCGATCCCCTGAAATAAGCCCACACAGCTGAATGACCTCACTGCAGCCCTGGGCACAGGTGCTCTATAAGACTTTGGCAGCCTGGGTGGCTCAGTCTGTTAAGCGTCCAACTTCGACTCAGGTCATGATCTCACGGTCCCTGAGTTTGAGCCCCGCGTCGGGCTCTGTGCTGACAGCTCGGAGCCTGGAGCCTGCTTTGGATTCTGTGTCTCCCTCTCTCTCTGCCCTTCCCCTACTCACGCTGTCTGTCTCTGTCTCTCTCAAAAATAAATAAACATTAAAAACAATTTTTTTGAAGACTTTGGCAGCCTGTCTAATGAAGTTTACTTACGGCTTCAGCTGCTATATTGGTTTTTCCTTAAATTTTGTAGCTATTTTATTCTTTCTTTTTTAAATCTGTTTTATTCTTATGTCGGGAGTTTAATCAAAACTACTGGGGACAAAACAAAAAACAAATAAAATCTACTGGGGACATACTGGTCCAATTTTTTTTCAAGTTCAAGAATTTATGCATTGTAATGTTTTTATTTATTTTTGAGACAGAGAGAGACAGAGTATGAGCAGGGGAGGGGCAGAGAGAGAGGGAGACACAGAATCCGAAGCAGGCTCCAGGCTCTGAGCTGTCAGCACAGAGCCCGACGCGGGGCTCGAACCCACGGACCATGACATCATGACCTGAGCTGAAGTCAGACGCTTAACCGACTGAGCCACCCAGGCGCCCCAAGAATTTATGCATTGTAAAAAAAATTTATTTTGACATAATTTTCTACCTAGAGAAAAGTGGCAAACGTAGTACAGAGTGCTCCCATATTCCTTTTATGCAAAATCCCCTGATGTTACCATCTGACATCATGCCATATTGCAGTGATCAAATCCAGGAAATTTACCCTGAAAACCAATCAGTGAACATTGTGCTAATTTCACCAACATTCCCACTAAGGTCCGTTTTCTGATTCAGGAT